TATTCTAACATGGTATCAGAGTAGGCCGTTCTTAGGCCTAATTTCAAGCTCGTTATGGCGGCGCCTCGAGTTCCTGCTGATCGCCACGGCGGCGAGCTGCGCAATGGCGAGATCCGTCGCCCTGTGCCCGTTTCGTCTTCCCGTTCGCTCCCGTTGTGCACTGCTCGTCGCCTCCCTTCACGCGTCTCCAGTCGCGTCTCCCACCGCGCCTCCCGGCCGTGCCTCCCGTCGCGTCTCCCGTCCGCGCCTCCAGTCGCGTCTCCCGCTGCGCCTCCTGTCCGCGCCTCCCGTCGAGCCTCCTGTTGCGCACCTCTCGTCTGCGAATCCCTGCGCCCGGCGCCAACACACACGCCAGCGCCAGGCGCCAGCGCGAACGGCAGCGCCGACGCCAGCGCCAAGCCCTGGCGCGAACGCCACCGCCAGCGCCTGCGCCACCGTCACCGCCAGCGCGGAACGCCAGCGCCTGCGCCAGGCGCGAAGCGCCAGCATGGACGCTAGCTCCAGCAGCTCCGTATGCCCCCTCCCCCTCCTCCTCCCCTCTCCTACCCCCCCCCCCCCCCCCCCCCCCCCAACCCCCTCTTCCCTTCTGCGGCTTCTGCCTTGGGGGGGGGGGGATGTGGGGGTGGCGGGGATGACCAGCCAGCAGCCTGTCCCTCCCCTCTCTCTTCCTGCAGGGCTTGTCGCCGTGGAGAAGAGGGGGGGGGGGAGGAGAGAAGTGGAAAAGGGTGAGGGGGTGGCGGAAGTAGAAAGGTGCGGAGGGTGTGAAGTTCAAGGGGTTGAGTGACAAGGGGGATGAGGACTTGGGGGTTATTATCGGGGGGGAGGGGGGGGGGGGATCACTATGAGCGTGCGCGCTCATGCCCACCTAGCCCACCTCCTCTCCTTATCGAGATTTGGGGATTATTAACAGGGGGGGGTCGCTATGAGCGTGCGCGCTCATGCCCACCTAGCCCACCTCCTCTCCCTTTCCTCTCTCACCTCCCCTTTGTAAAAGGAGGTTCGTAAGCGGGTACCCCGAGCATTGAGTGCGCGCTCATGCACGGCCCCCACCTCCTCTCCTCTTCTCTCCTCTCCTCTCGCCTCCTCCTCCTTCCTTACCTCTCCACCCTCTTCCGCTACGCCACGTGTACCTGTACTAGTTCCCACAGCAAGCAGGTTAAGGGGGTGTGTTAAGTTTTGTTATATACCCTGCTTGCTGTGTGTTCTAGTGTAGCTACAGTAACTTGTTGGTGGTGCACCACTGTGCTCACCTTCTCTTGAACTAGATCATGTTTCTTTCTCATTGATGTATACCTTCTTCCTTCATGTTTCTCTCGCTCACGCTACCCCAAACCCTAAGGCTACTATGTTAACACCTCTCCACCAGCTCCTGTGTGTCCAGCTCGTAATCCAGAAGCGACACCATCATGAGGTCGCCAAGGGTCGTGTCGCACAAGTTGCCGCTCACCCATCTTTTAATGATGTTTTGATGGCTGAATCTGCGCTCACACTCAACAGTGCTGAGTGGAAGCACGGCAACAGCTATCCACAACCGACCGAGGTTCGAAAAGGCCGACTCCCAATCAGGTGTGAGCATCTGCGAGAGGCTGTCGCGGAAGAAGAGGTCTTCGTGGTGGGTGGAGAGGATTGTAGTGAAGCTGGTGAGCTCCTTGGAAGCTTTGCCCCAATCGATGCCTTATGGGAAGGGGAAGGTACATGGGGTGTAATGCAGAAAGAGGGGAGAGTACATTTATGAGACACCACAAAAGTAACCAACAACATCAAATGCACGGGTGTGCGCAGATAGAACAATGGAGAGCCATCTACCAGGAAGAGTATATGAATGTTGAGATTTTTTCTTGAATAGGTTGCGCAGAGACGTTAGCCCTTGGTGCGCTCTCTTAGCGCGCAAACGAGGGTACCGTCCCTGTCGAAACAGCTTGCTCCCATCCAGCGACTTAGGCTCTTCATGTGGTCGTCAATGTAAAACATCGTCTTTGCATCGAACGCCGATGACACCTTCACGCACGACGCCAAGTGCCCCCGACAGTTCTAACCCTCAATGCGGTCCTCGTGCAGCACGTAGGTGTGTGTCGCCATGGCTCCCGCACTGTCGATCCCTTCGATCTTAACCTCGCGACCGTTGTTGTGCCGAAGGTGCTGTCGTACTCCACGTAGCATCTGGTCAACGCCAGGGTGGTATGGTGCACCATCGACAGAACCTGCGTCACGTTGAGCTGCACATAAAATACGGGAGACTGAATTAGATTGGGCCAGGAAGAACAACCAGAACTTTGCACAACGTGCTTACCTGCCGTCGCTGAAATTCGAGATTGAGGCTGTATAACTCCTGGAGCACATCAACACGGAAGAACAAGAAGAACTGAAACTTGAAACTAGTTACAAGGGTGTTAGAAGTCCTGTCGTACTCATACAACAGGACGATGGCGGCAGGCAACACGTCAGCAAAGCGCTCGATGGCATTTCCAAGTTGGTGCAGGTTACCACCTCCTGCAGGTTCTTGAATCGCGCATGTTGCACGATAGAGTGGCCGAGAATGTCCGCGAAGGATCTGATGACTTTGTCGACGTGTCGAAGTCGGGGAAATCGAGGGCGGCATCCTTCGCAGCAAGTGCCTCCCTGCATATTTAACACGCAATGGGTTAGTAAGCAAGCTGAGAGATAAAGAACACAAGATACAAAACGAAACAGCGGTACACAACATGTGGGCGACGCAGTGGCAAGGAACAATGCGCAGAACCCGTGTGCATAACCGAGCCACCAGGCCGGTCTGGCCACCGCTCATAACGCTCATGACATCGGTGCTCATGTCGCTTATCATTGTCAGCTCGATGCCGCAGGTAGCAAGGTGTGTAAGGAGGACGACCTCAAGCGAACCGGCGTCGCACTTCTCGACTGAAAAGTTGGCGAAGCACTCCGTCGCCGTGCCGCGCAAAAACGTGGCATACACAATCATGTGTTTTGCCATGCCTTCTGTCGGTGTTCATCGAGCTGAAGGCCAATGAAGGGGCTTTCGTTGATGTGCTACAATTGCTTCGCCTTCAAGTAGCACACCAGCGTCTCGACAAGCTGCTTGAAACCGTACCTGTGTCAAGCATTTGTAAAAAATGTTAGTACATAGTATTGATTCAATAAAACACTGCCAAAGACAAATCACACTTATGTAGTATAGTACGTCCTTCGTCCTTCAATGGCATATCTAACATTCTCAGTTCCGTCATGAACTGCACAAGTGTCATGAACAAGGTGATGTGGGTGTTAGACTTGCAAAACGCACAGTAAAAAAACAACTTGATCAACCGCCACACTTTTGCACTCTTATCTCCAAAGTTTGAGATAGAAGTATGCTTCGTCTGCGCACCTTCACGCTGCTCCAATCTTCCCTTCGACGCCCGGTGCTGGATGCTCACACTGGTGCTTCCGCATCGTTTGCTTTTGTAAGTCAAAGCCTCCCTCGCCCCGAGCGCCGTACTTCGAGTCAAGATCTGCGTACACCAGGTAAATATTTTACCTCATGCAAGGACGACCTTCAGAGGTGTCGCTGATGATGAGCCAAGGGAAGTGGCGCTGCCATTGCTCCTTGGCTTTCAACTGCAGCTCCTCCAGCGTCATAATCGAGGGACACGGATTCTCTGATCCACTGCTTGGCTCATCATCCTTAGTAGCGGATTTCCCTGCGGAAGAAGGGCTTGGCCGCTTCGAAAAAGGAAGCTTACGTCGCACATTTCTAGTCTTGCCAGGAAACCGTGGTGGAAGGAACGGCGAGCGAGATTTGAGAAGAATGTTTCGAACAGGAAAAGCATCAGCGACAGGTTGACCTGATGAAACGAACCCCCAGGGAGGCTCGTTGAGCGAGGTGATCGAACGGGGGAAAATGGTATAAGCGCCTTAGCATCCATCTCCGCAAAAGGGTAAGTCTCGTGAGAACTAGGTCTTTCATTCTCACCGACCGAAGGAGCAACAGGAGCAGCTGAGACTAGAGTTGTGAAACCAAGGCCAGTGCGTGGGCGTGGCAATGAACTGGAAGGTGGTGGTGTAGCATCTAGAGTGGATGCAAAAGGGGCCTCCGTGCGAGAGTAAGAACCATCGTGATGGAACTACACATTGGATTGGACTGCTCTTGCCCGCGAGGGTAAAATCAAGGACCCCACGAGCTGTGGGGAGGGGGAGAGGATCGTCCGAACCGAGCCGCATGAACGCACGCATCTCTGCTGGAAGCTGCCATGCCAGCCGAAAGCTGACCTCGACACGCACTGAGGGCTGTTTGTGCTGCAAACGTTATCTGTCTGCAGTGCGCTGGCGCGAATATGCCAAATGAGTTGGCAAGATTCGTGCCAACGGGGTGAGTCCTCTGCATTTGAAGTGAGCCATTGGCATCGACCTGAGGCAACGTACAGCCTGGCGGTGGCATCACGATAACGCGGCAGCTGGCTAGACTCGCCGGGAACAGTGGACAACTGGGCAGGTGGGCAACTGGCCATGTGGGGGAATCTGTTGGTTTCAGACAAGAAAAGACTCACTGTCTGCAATTTCAGACAAACATTATAAGGATGTCTGAGAATTTAGATACCCTACGGTACTAAGTATAAATTGCTTCTCCAAAATATCCAATGAAATTAAACGACATGTCTAAGCCATCAGATGAACCCTAAGAAACGTGTCTGAATTCCAGACAGTCGTCAGACAAAAAAAAAAATGATAACAAAGACCCTTCGTAAAGTACCATATTAGTTTTACTGGTCTAAATTGTCCCTTTCAAAACCCTGAAGATACTGAATTGATTGCAGAAGAGGTATGGTTTGTTTTCTAGGCCAGGCTAGGCCAGGCCACCCCTCCAGATGTGTACTTGCATACCTGAAAAGAACCTGGGATTAGAGATCACCTAGGTGAGATCCTGCAAAGCATTCTGCAGCTGTCATAACAGGAGTACTGGTGGTAACGTTGTAAGAAACATGACCGGGCTGGCGAAAAAGCACGTCCCCATAGAACAGATGAACCCGTTAAGAGGTTGCTGGTGTTGGCGTTGCTGCAGGTGGTGCTTCCCCATTGCCACCCACCACGGCCTGGATGCACGCTCCATCATCAAGCCGTGCGGCAAGTCTCTGCAGCAGCAGCTTCTTTCCCAGCCTGAACCGCACCACCATCTCACGCTGCCCTAACGTGCGCATCACCTGCGCCGTACACACACTCGCATCAAACTCCACCCCTTCACACCCCTCTGCACCAGCTGTACCACTTCCTGCCTTGTCTGAATTCTGGACACGTCCCTCCGCACTGAACCCCTCTTCTCCCACGGCCTCCTTGCTTCTCTTTGCACCCCCCTCCGCCCCATCCGTTCCCGCCCCGCTGCCCTCCGCTGCACGTGCATGTCCCTGTCCACCGTGTGACCCTCCTGCGCCCACGCGGCAAGCAGCGAGTTGCTGCAGCAGCAGCTGGTCGGCCTGCGGTGACGAGGAGAAGGCCGACAACAGCTGCCGCGCGCGCTCCGCAATGGCAGACGCGGCCGCGGACAGCGGTGCCTCCAGGTGGGGAGGGATGGAGAGGGATGCGGTGGGAGGGGGGCAGGCTGGGTGGAAGGGGTGTTGGGAGAACGAGACGGCTACCTGCGCCAGCTGCTGCCAGTCCAGGTCTGGTGGGCGGGGGACAGGCGATGACACGGAGAGGGGGAGAGGAGGAGAGGGAGAGAGGGGGAGAGGAGGAGAGGGGGAGAGGGGAGGGGGGAGAGGAGGAAAGGGGGAGAGGGGGAGAGGAGGAGAGGGGGAGAGGGGGAGAGGAGGAGAGGGGGAGTGGGGGAGAGGGGGAGAGGGGAGAGGGGGAGAGGAGGAGAGGAGGAGAGGGGGAGAGGGGGAGAGGGGAGAGGGGAGAGGAGGAGAGGGGGAGAGGAGGAGAGGGGACGAGGGGAAGAGAGAGTGGGAGAGGGGGAGAAAGGGTGGGCGAAGGGGAGGGAGGGGAGCAGGGAGTTTAAACCGTACAGAGAAGGAGCTCGCGGATGGAAACTTTCTTCATTGTTACGGGGCAACGTGCCAGGTGAACGAGGGATGGAAACGTGATGCACGCTCACAGACCAGCTGTGTGTGGTGAGAAGACCGGCCTGCGGAGAGGCTCATGCAGAGGGGGATGCGATGCAGCGCACAGGAATGCAGGGCGGGTAGGGGTGAATGAAGAGAAGACGTACTTCAAGCAGGGAAGAATGAGGGGTGCAGGCTGGCGCGAACGCAAGAGAGTGGGGGAGTGTGCAAGTGAGAGAGTGAGGGAGTGCGCAAGTGAGAGGTGAGGTGAGCGGGCGAGCAAGGAGCAGGAGCAGGAGCAGGAGTGACCTTGGGAGTGCGTCCACTTGAACCACACGGCAGCAAGAGCGGCGACAAGGCGGGGCTCCACGTGGCCATCGGCACCGGCGTTGTACGCCCCACCATCCACCTCGTCCCACAGCGACAGCGCCACTGGGTACTGCTGCTGCGCGCCTGCCGTGCCAGTGCTGCTGGCAGTGCGTGCCATCACCTCTGCGTGCACGGCGTCCTCTGCTGCCTCCACCGCCGCTGCCAGCGCCGCCTCCTGCTCCTTGCTCACCCCAGGGTCGTACCACTGTGACGCCGCACCGCTGCTGCTATGGGTGGTGGTGCTCCCTGCCGTGGCGAGCGGGTGCAGCGAGAGCAGGAAGGCGAGCAGCGAGTCGGGCGTGTGGAAGAGCGGCACGCGGTCGTGCGGGTTGGAGGCGGGCAGGTGGCCGTGCAGCGCCCACAGGTCGTCGTTGGACAGCGGCCCCAGGTTGAGCGCGAGGGGCGTGGTGGCGCGGATGGCGGAGAGCGCCCGGATGGTGACGGGTGGCACGGAGTCAGAGGGGCCGTGAGCGCCCCGTGGTGTGTTGTGCTGGCCTCATGCACGCATGGTGGTCATGGTGGGTTAACCCAGTGGGGAAGGGGAGAGGGCATGGGTAGGACGGGAAGGAAAGACATGTGAAGAGGAGGTTGTGACGAGGTGATGCAGTACGGAACGGGGACATTGTTCAATGGACGAATATGAGCCATTGACTGTGTGAGACTGTGGGCCATTCACTGTGGGGAGAAAACGTGGAAATATCAGCCATTCACTGTGGGGAGAAAACGTGGAAATATGAGCCATTGACTGTGGGGAGAAAACGTGGAAATATCAGCCATTGACTGTGGGGAGAAAACGTGGAAATATGAGCCATTGACTGTGGGGAGAAAACGTGGAAATATCAGCCATTGACTGTGGGGAGAAAACGTGGAAATATGAGCCATTGACTGTGGGGAGAAAACGTGGAAATATCAGCCATTGACTGTGGGGAGAAAACGTGGAAATATGAGCCATTGACTGTGGGGAGAAAACGTGGAAATATGAGCCATTGACTGTGGGGAGAAAACGTGGAAACATGAGCCATTGACTGTGGGGAGAAAACGTGGAAACATGAGCCATTGACTGTGGGGAGAAAACGTGGAAACATGAGCCATTGACTGTGGGGAGAAAACGTGGAAACATGAGCCATTGACTGTGGGGAGAAAACGTGGAAACATGAGCCATTGACTGTGGGGAGAAAACGTGGAAACATGAGCCATTGACTGTGGGGAGAAAACGTGGAAACATGAGCCATTGACTGTGGGGAGAAAACGTGGAAACATGAGCCATTGACTGTGGGGAGAAAACGTGGAAACATGAGCCATTGACTGTGGGGAGAAAACGTGGAAACATGAGCCATTGACTGTGGGAGAGAAAACGTGGAAACATGAGCCATTGACTGTGGGGAGAAAACGTGGAAACATGAGCCATTGACTGTGGGGAGAAAACGTGGAAACATGAGCCATTGACTGTGGGGAGAAAACGTGGAAACATGAGCCATTGACTGTGGGGAGAAAACGTGGAAACATGAGCCATTGACTGTGGGGAGAAAACGTGGAATGGAAACATGAGCCATTGACTGTGGGGAGAAAACGTGGAAACATGAGCCATTGACTGTGGGGAGAAAACGTGGAAACATGAGCCATTGACTGTGGGGAGAAAACGTGGAAACATGAGCCATTGACTGTGGGGAGAAAACGTGGAAACATGAGCCATTGACTGTGGGGAGAAAACGTGGAACACATGAGCCATTGACTGTGGGGAGAAAACGTGGAACATGAGCCATTGACTGTGGGGAGAAAACGTGGAAACATGAGCCATTGACTGTGGGGAGAAAACGTGGAAACATGAGCCATTGACTGTGGGGAGAAAACGTGGAAACATGAGCCATTGACTGTGGGGAGAAAACGTGGAAACATGAGCCATTGACTGTGGGGAGAAAACGTGGAAACATGAGCCATTGACTGTGGGGAGAAAACGTGGAAACATGAGCCATTGACTGTGGGGAGAAAACGTGGAAACATGAGCCATTGACTGTGGGGAGAAAACGTGGAAACATGAGCCATTGACTGTGGGGAGAAAACGTGGAAACATGAGCCATTGACTGTGGGGAGAAAACGTGGAAACATGAGCCATTGACTGTGGGGAGAAAACGTGGAAACATGAGCCATTGACTGTGGGGAGAAAACGTGGAAACATGAGCCATTGACTGTGGGGAGAAAACGTGGAAACATGAGCCATTGACTGTGGGGAGAAAACGTGGAAACATGAGCCATTGACTGTGGGGAGAAAACGTGGAAACATGAGCCATTGACTGTGGGGAGAAAACGTGGAAACATGAGCCATTGACTGTGGGGAGAAAACGTGGAAACATGAGCCATTGACTGTGGGGAGAAAACGTGGAAACATGAGCCATTGACTGTGGGGAGAAAACGTGGAAACATGAGCCATTGACTGTGGGGAGAAAACGTGGAAACATGAGCCATTGACTGTGGGGAGAAAACGTGGAAACATGAGCCATTGACTGTGGGGAGAAAACGTGGAAACATGAGCCATTGACTGTGGGGAGAAAACGTGGAAACATGAGCCATTGACTGTGGGGAGAAAACGTGGAAACATGAGCCATTGACTGTGGGGAGAAAACGTGGAAACATGAGCCATTGACTGTGGGGAGAAAACGTGGAAACATGAGCCATTGACTGTGGGGAGAAAACGTGGAAACATGAGCCATTGACTGTGGGGAGAAAACGTGGAAACATGAGCCATTGACTGTGGGGAGAAAACGTGGAAACATGAGCCATTGACTGTGGGGAGAAAACGTGGAAACATGAGCCATTGACTGTGGGGAGAAAACGTGGAAACATGAGCCATTGACTGTGGGGAGAAAACGTGGAAACATGAGCCATTGACTGTGGGGAGAAAACGTGGAAACATGAGCCATTGACTGTGGGGAGAAAACGTGGAAACATGAGCCATTGACTGTGGGGAGAAAACGTGGAAACATGAGCCATTGACTGTGGGGAGAAAACGTGGAAACATGAGCCATTGACTGTGGGGAGAAAACGTGGAAACATGAGCCATTGACTGTGGGGAGAAAACGTGGAAACATGAGCCATTGACTGTGGGGAGAGAAAACGTGGAAACATGAGCCATTGACTGTGGGGAGAAAACGTGGAAACATGAGCCATTGACTGTGGGGAGAAAACGTGGAAACATGAGCCATTGACTGTGGGGAGAAAACGTGGAAACATGAGCCATTGACTGTGGGGAGAAAACGTGGAAACATGAGCCATTGACTGTGGGGAGAAAACGTGGAAACATGAGCCATTGACTGTGGGGAGAAAACGTGGAAACATGAGCCATTGACTGTGGGGAGAAAACGTGGAAACATGAGCCATTGACTGTGGGGAGAAAACGTGGAAACATGAGCCATTGACTGTGGGGAGAAAACGTGGAAACATGAGCCATTGACTGTGGGGAGAAAACGTGGAAACATGAGCCATTGACTGTGGGGAGAAAACGTGGAAACATGAGCCATTGACTGGGGGAGAAAACGTGGAAACATGAGCCATTGACTGTGGGGAGAAAACGTGGAAACATGAGCCATTGACTGTGGGGAGAAAACGTGGAAACATGAGCCATTGACTGTGGGGAGAAAACGTGGAAACATGAGCCATTGACTGTGGGGAGAAAACGTGGAAACATGAGCCATTGACTGTGGGGAGAAAACGTGGAAACATGAGCCATTGACTGTGGGGAGAAAACGTGGAAACATGAGCCATTGACTGTGGGGAGAAAACGTGGAAACATGAGCCATTGACTGTGGGGAGAAAACGTGGAAACATGAGCCATTGACTGTGGGGAGAAAACGTGGAAACATGAGCCATTGACTGTGGGGAGAAAACGTGGAAACATGAGCCATTGACTGTGGGGAGAAAACGTGGAAACATGAGCCATTGACTGTGGGGAGAAAACGTGGAAACATGAGCCATTGACTGTGGGGAGAAAACGTGGAAACATGAGCCATTGACTGTGGGGAGAAAACGTGGAAACATGAGCCATTGACTGTGGGGAGAAAACGTGGAAACATGAGCCATTGACTGTGGGGAGAAAACGTGGAAACATGAGCCATTGACTGTGGGGAGAAAACGTGGAAACATGAGCCATTGACTGTGGGGAGAAAACGTGGAACATGAGCCATTGACTGTGGGGAGAAAACGTGGAAACATGAGCCATTGACTGTGGGGAGAAAACGTGGAAACATGAGCCATTGACTGTGGGGAGAAAACGTGGAAACATGAGCCATTGACTGTGGGGAGAAAACGTGGAAACATGAGCCATTGACTGTGGGGAGAAAACGTGGAAACATGAGCCATTGACTGTGGGAAGAAAACGTGGAAACATGAGCCATTGACTGTGGGGAGAAAACGTGGAAACATGAGCCATTGACTGTGGGGAGAAAACGTGGACACATGAGCCATTGACTGTGGGGAGAAAACGTGGAAACATGAGCCATTGACTGTGGGGAGAAAACGTGGACACATGAGCCATTGACTGTGGGGAGAAAACGTGGACACATGAGCCATTGACTGTGGGGAGAAAACGTGGACACATGAGCCATTGACTGTGGGGAGAAAACGTGGAAACATGAGCCATTGACTGTGGGGAGAAAACGTGGAAACATGAGCCATTGACTGTGGGGAGAAAACGTGGAAACATGAGCCATTGACTGTGGGGAGAAAACGTGGAAACATGAGCCATTGACTGTGGGGAGAAAACGTGGAAACATGAGCCATTGACTGTGGGGAGAAAACGTGGAAACATGAGCCATTGACTGTGGGGAGAAAACGTGGAAACATGAGCCATTGACTGTGGGGAGAAAACGTGGACACATGAGCCATTGACTGTGGGGAGAAAACGTGGAAACATGAGCCATTGACTGTGGGGAGAAAACGTGGAAACATGAGCCATTGACTGTGGGGAGAAAACGTGGAAACATGAGCCATTGACTGTGGGGAGAAAACGTGGAAACATGAGCCATTGACTGTGGGGAGAAAACGTGGAAACATGAGCCATTGACTGTGGGAAGAAAACGTGGAAACATGAGCCATTGACTGTGGGGAGAAAACGTGGAAACATGAGCCATTGACTGTGGGGAGAAAACGTGGAAACATGAGCCATTGACTGTGGGGAGAAAACGTGGAAACATGAGCCATTGACTGTGGGAAGAAAACGTGGAAACATGAGCCATTGACTGTGGGGAGAAAACGTGGAAACATGAGCCATTGACTGTGGGGAGAAAACGTGGACACATGAGCCATTGACTGTGGGGAGAAAACGTGGAAACATGAGCCATTGACTGTGGGGAGAAAACGTGGAAACATGAGCCATTGACTGTGGGGAGAAAACGTGGAAACATGAGCCATTGACTGTGGGGAGAAAACGTGGAAACATGAGCCATTGACTGTGGGGAGAAAACGTGGAAACATGAGCCATTGACTGTGGGGAGAAAACGTGGAAACATGAGCCATTGACTGTGGGGAGAAAACGTGGAAACATGAGCCATTGACTGTGGGGAGAAAACGTGGAAACATGAGCCATTGACTGTGGGGAGAAAACGTGGAAACATGAGCCATTGACTGTGGGGAGAAAACGTGGAAACATGTGCCATTGACTGTGGGGAGAAAACGTGGAAACATGAGCCATTGACTGTGGGGAGAAAACGTGGAAACATGAGCCATTGACTGTGGGGAGAAAACGTGGACACATGAGCCATTGACTGTGGGGAGAAAACGTGGAAACATGAGCCATTGACTGTGGGGAGAAAACGTGGAAACATGAGCCATTGACTGTGGGGAGAAAACGTGGAAACATGAGCCATTGACTGTGGGGAGAAAACGTGGAAACATGAGCCATTGACTGTGGGGAGAAAACGTGGAAACATGAGCCATTGACTGTGGGAAGAAAACGTGGAAACATGAGCCATTGACTGTGGGGAGAAAACGTGGAAACATGAGCCATTGACTGTGGGGAGAAAACGTGGACACATGAGCCATTGACTGTGGGGAGAAAACGTGGAAACATGAGCCATTGACTGTGGGGAGAAAACGTGGACACATGAGCCATTGACTGTGGGGAGAAAACGTGGACACATGAGCCATTGACTGTGGGGAGAAAACGTGGACACATGAGCCATTGACTGTGGGGAGAAAACGTGGACACATGAGCCATTTACCTGCCACTCCAACTGGACATTGGGCTCATGCGAGTGGATGAACCCTGCTGGCAGCGCCAGCAGCAGCAGCGGGGCACTGAAGCGGCTGCGCCGGCCGTGCCCTGCGCCGGCACCCATCCACTGCTCCACCCACTGCATGCTGCGCGCCAGCTCCTCCGCACTCGTGCCCACCCACTGCTGCTGCACCGCACTGCACCCCTGGGCGGATGCCGCGCCCTCCCCTGCACCTGCAGACGCGGGACAGAACTCCTCTCTGGAACCGGCGCTGCCAGCACCGGCTTCAGATGTGGCCCCAGCTGCACCAGCAGCACCATCAGCGGCAGGCGCAGTGGGAGTGTGTTCCTTGTGGTCGCCCCTCTCCTTGGCTCGCACCGCTGTCACCACCTTGCCCACAGGCGACGCCGAGGCAGCGGTGGCAGGCAGCTGTGAGGGCAGCAGCCCGTGCGGCATGGTGGTGTAGGGCAGCAGGGGCAGCGCGCGCGCGAGCACGAGGGAGAGCGCCCAGAAGAAGTGCGACTTGGACGCGCGCGCCATGGCCTTGGCCTTGCTGCGCAGGTACTCCTCCTCGAACGCTGCTCGGTACAGCGCCAGCTGCACACGCGTGCGCCGGTGGTGGGCAGCGGGGGGAGATGCAGCAGTGACGAGGAGAAGGGGGGAGTGGGGGAGGTGGGAGGTGGGGTGGGTTTGGTGGTTACGGGAGGCTGTGTAGGAAAATGCGAGAAAGTGCGGGCAAGCATGGGATGGCAGTGAATGCCCTCCTACGGACGGAGTCCCATTGAGAAGGGGAAAGAAGAAGGGCGACATAGACCAAATGGTGAGCTCTTCACACGCAAAGGGCAGAGGGGCGAGGGCAGAGGGCAGAGGGGCGAGGGCAGAGGGCAGAGGGGCGAGGGCAGAGGGGCGAGGGCACGGACCCGGCGCATCATGGGCGGGTAGTCGAAGAGCTCGACGACGTCGCGGTCAAACAGCGCTGGCAGCGGTGCGTAGCGCGGCAAGGTGCGGATGAACGGCGCCCACTTGGACTTGCCGCCCTTGGCGCGCTCGCGCAGCAGCCACGCCGCCAGCACCGAGGCGGCGGTCCAGGGCTTCTCCTTGCGCGTCACGTTGTACGGCAGCTGCTTTGCTTCCCCCTCCGCTAGCCCGTCCGCTGTCTGCTGCAGCGCTGCTGGCACCACCAGCGCCGCTGCTGCCGCTGCTATGGGCTGCTGGGCCACGAGCGTGGCGCCTGTGCTGCACGTATCATGCATGGGCGTGCAAGTGCGTGCATGTGTACGTGCGTACATGCGTGGGTGGGAGGGAAGGTGGGTGAGTGTGGGTGGGCGGGTGGGTGGGAAGAGAGCGAGGATGGAGGGATGAAGGGAAAATGAGTTGAAGAAGGTGAGCATGGGGTGAGTGGGGTCGCAGCAGGAGTGGGAGAAGTGTCATATGGAGTGGTGAAAGTAGCGCCATTCATGCAGGGACCATCGAGCTGTGAGCGTGGCTCCCTCAACGCACACCAGCGCGGTGTTTTGGTGCGATCGTGCTGAGCACGGCTTGTGTCGTGGGCCTCACGCCCTTCGTTTCATTCCCTCTCCGCCCTCACGCGCTGCCACGCCTCTAGTTATGTGCCTCGACAGCACGACGGAAAGAGAGAGGAAAGCAGGAGGGGGACGCGGGGGAAAGAGCGGAGGAGGGTAAGGAAGTAGGACGGCAGGGGACGGAGGAGTAAAGGGGACGGAGGAGTAAAGACGGAGGAGTAAAGGGGACGGAGGAGTAAAGGGGACGGAGGAGTAAAGGGGACGGAGGAGTAAAGGGGACGGAGGAGTAAAGGGGACGGAGGAGTAAAGGGGACGGAGGAGTAAAGGGGACGGAGGAGTAAAGGGGGGACGGAGGAGTAAAGGGGACGGAGGAGTAAAGGGGACGGAGGAGTAAAGGGGACGGAGGAGTAAAGGGGACGGAGGAGTAAAGGGGACGGAGGAGTAAAGGGGACGGAGGAGTAAAGGGGACGGAGGAGAGTAAAGGGGACGGAGGAGTAAAGGGGACGGAGGAGTAAAGGGGACGGAGGAGTAAAGGGGACGGAGGAGTAAAGGGGACGGAGGAGTAAAGGGGACGGAGGAGTAAAGGGGACGGAGGAGTAAAGGGGACGGAGGAGTAAAGGGGACGGAGGAGTAAAGGGGACGGAGGAGTAAAGGGGACGGAGGAGTAAAGGGGACGGAGGAGTAAAGGGGACGGAGGAGTAAAGGGGACGGAGGAGTAAAGGGGACGGAGGAGTGAGGGGGAGGAAGGCGGCTTACGTGGAGACAGGTGATTCTTGGGAGGGGTGAGGACACGCGACAGGCTTGGGAGGTTCGACCTGGAATGGGGTTGGGAAGCACGCACAGCAGATGAGAGGCGTGTGGGGGAGGGGTGGCGCGCCAGCTGCATGGCGCGCCCACGTGTTGCATTGCAGCACGGGCGGCGGGTGGGCCGCAGGGGAAACGACGAGCGGAACGGAGACGCAGGCGCGGAAAGCGTAGGGGAGGGAACATATGGCGCACATGCATCGCGTTGGATCGAAAGCACTGTGCCGCCACGGGGGCGGGGGTGCGCGGCGGCGGAAGGGATGTGGAGAGCGCGGAGGAGGCGAGCAAGGCAGTTGGGGATGCGCGTGCGAACTCACACCAACAGCGGCGTCGGGTCCCCCAATGCCCTGCGCCCCTTGTTCCGCAAGCCACGCAGTCACCGCCGCTTCCCCCCCAGCATCCTCCCCTGCCGCGCCTTCCCCGATCTCCCCAAGGCGGGGGAGCGGTGCCCCTTCGATGAGGGGGGGCGCGCGGTCGAAGGAGAAGAGCGGGGACGGCATGATGCCCAGCTCCCCCACGTCCACGTCGCGCCACCGCACCCCGCCCGGCGCGGCGCTGGCGGGCGCGAGGAGAGGCGCGCAGACGAGGGCCGCGCAGAAGAGGAAGCGAAGGGCTGAGGGGAGCGGGACAGGGAAGGGACGGAGAGGGAAATTGAAGGAAGGATTTAACGGAAATGGCATTGCAGAGCGGGAAGATCTCTCCGTGACAGTACGCACGCGGCTTCCACATTGTGTGGCACATCGAAACGTCCTCGTGGCTAGGAATGGTAGAGTAATGAATTATTAAGCATTGTTCAGGCCCGATGTTGCGACGTGCAGCGGGCCAGGCCATGCGGTGCGGCAGCAGCACCACGTACGTACTGGTGCTGGCGAGCGGGATAGGAGTCATGGCGACAAGCATGCGGCGAGGGCAGAGATACGAGCGACAATGGCGGAGAGATTGGAAGGAGAGCTGAAGAGCAGTGCACTAGGAACAACTAGCGGGGCGTTTATCACCTAGGGCGTAATGGCATGGGGTGGGCTGATGCTGGGCGGCTTTCAAACATCTGCCTTGGTTGGCACTCTTTTCCCCCTGTGCGACCCCAACCTGGGCTCCGTCCACCCAACCAATCAAACGGCGGAAAACGGGATCCTCTGCGAAACTCGCGCGTTCGACGACGAAGGTTCAGCGTTCGCGAATTTGTGTACGGACGGAAGCTTGGTGGTCGCGAGCAGATCCTCAACACAAGAGGCCGCGTCACAAAAAATAGCTCTTTCTGGAAAGCTCTTGTAATCATTCAATTAGTCAAACATTTGAAAAGTAATGTCTCTACCTACGTTTCTAATCTGCAAAAGTATTGGGCTAAAGCACTAGAAAGCAACACGCTGTACAATTGAAGAAACTCCATCAACTAAAATAGCAATTCTAGAAATACAAATCCATTCCACAAGCTGTGAAGCAAGATGGAGGCTAACAAGTTCCTAGAGCGGACAAACACAACCCCAATAACAAGACCAAGGAAGAAAAGTGGGAGCATGCGTTGCAACGAGAAGTGCGCGAGTGCAAACACCATTGCACTGACCACCACTGAGGCCCAGAGCGGAAAGTACCGTGTGAGGGACGGTAGGAGAAACCCCCGAAACACCACCTCTTCCCACACAGGCGCGCATACAGCGACAGCGATGGCATAGAGCAGCGTGGCAATGGGGTCATGCGAATGGATGGACTGCTCCAAGTGCGTGGTGGCCTGGAACTTGAGAGGCAGCGGCAGCAGCTGCAGGTTGAGCTTGGAGAGCAGCTGCACGAACGGGAAGAAGGAGCACGCGAGCAGCGCCTGCAGGTACCAGCGCCCCGACAGGTGCACAGGGAACCAGTGCGGTGGGAGGGGCTGGAAGCGCGTGAGGCAGCGGTTGAGGATGGCGATGCCAACAGTCATCTCTGCCAGGTCTGTGAGCAGGCTATAGAGGGCATGCGCTCGCAGTGACATGGCTGCTCGGCGCAGCCCTAGTGCCTGCGCTAGCAGCGGCACTAGCCAGGAGCCGATGAGCCAGAACGCCAGGAACCACAGGAACATGACCTGCCGCCCACGGGGACGAGGGGGAGGAGCGGAGAAGGGGGGGGGGGGGATGCAGGAGTGTGTGGAAAGAGGAGGCATGCAATGACAGGAACCCCCTCTGTCACATTGTGGTGAGTCCACAGAATGCATGTAGCGAATGGAAAGGGCAGAAACGGAACAGTGGTTTTGTTGACCATTCCCTTTCCACAGACAGTTCATTTGCTATCTCAAACCTACCCGGGGTCCCATCACTGCAAATGGTAGGAGAGGGAGGAAGGGGCGGGGGGCGGGGGTCACCTGGAAGATGGTGTCTCCCTGCCACGGCACGCTCCAGATGCGCTCCTCTGCAGCAGGCCCAAACACCAGCCTGCCCCATTGGCTGCGCATCCGCGACAGCTGTACGCCCACTCGCGCCCACCACCCCGCCAGCCAGTGCCAGCTGGCAGGCAGGTCGTGCAGCGCATTGTCCACGTGTGCGTTCTCCTCACTCTCATCCCCATCCCTAGACCGTTCCCCTCGTCCCGTTTCTTTGTCCGACCCAGAACCCGAATCCGCTGATCCTGATGCCTTCCTATGCGCGCCCTCCCCCCGCCACGCCGTTTCCCCTGCACCTGCGCGCCCCCTTGCCCTTGGTCCCCCTGCCCTCCCCCCTGCAGCTCTCGGTCGCACCAGCCTTCGTTCCGAGCGCCTCTGACCACAAGGCGCGCCTGTTGATTGATGGGGAGGGGAAGCACGGAGGCGAGGGGAGAAACGCGGGTGCGCGAGTACGAAGATGAGGCCGGATCGCAACGTATACGCGTGAGGCATGGGAGAGCTCGAGAGGGGGAGGGGGAGAGAGGAGGGGGGAAAAGGTTGGGAGGGCGAGAGGGTGGGGCGAATAATGGAGGCCGGAAAATTACAAAGATTTCCGGCACCGGTGGCCGCCAAGCGCTACCCAGTTTCAAAATTTTGAGCCGTGCAAGCATCGCCACTGGGCACGGTATCGCCTATTCGTGAAAAGAGGCGTGGGGAGATCTGGGCGGAGGAAGGGACGGGGCCCGTGCCTGGGAGAAGCGCGAGGACGGCAGAGGGAGGCCTGCGCACGACACGCAGCTGCGCGCACCACACACACGGCACGCCCGCCAGACGCCCGGCCCACCGCGCCTTTCCGCTGGCCGTCGCTTCCCCTCCTCCCGCCACACCCCCCGCTCACCCCATATCCTCCGTTTGCGCACGATGACTGCGCCGCGGGCTTTAGCGACCGGCGGGGTTTGGCGGCCACTGGGCGGGGTGACACAGAGGTGCGCGGCCGCGCGCGGCAAGGCGAGGGTAGGGCGCGCTGGCGCAAGCCGCCGTCTGCGGTGCGCCAGGGGAGGGGGCGAAATAGGAGCAGGGGAATGAAAGGCAGTCAGAGGGAAACGAGGACCAGGCGAGCGCAGGAGAATATGGAGCGGCGTGGTGAGATTCAAGAGTGTGGTTACGTACGCGACGATCCGATCCGACGGTCGACGAGACACGAGAGACGGCGACGGGAGGATCGACGCGGGGGCAGAGGTAGTAGAGAGCGACTGGAGAAGGAGCGGCAACGAGGAAGGAGCGGTGAGTATGGGATCGACGAAAGTTGAGGGGAGCGCGCAAGGGACGGCGATCCGATCGACTCACCTGATCCTAAACCGGGGATGGCGATGGAGCGGGCATCCGGCAGTCCCGCATACGTCGCCATGCGCGGAGAGGCTGGATATCCTACGGACCAGCGAAATGCGCGCGCGTGGAGATTAGCACAGGGATAACATAAACGCGCTATATTCTAGAGAAAAAAAAGGAGAGGTCAATCGCAGACCCAAAAGTGAGGATTAAATTACAGACGGCGACATGGAATTAATTTCTCATAAGGTATGGCGATCCAGTCAGAAAGGGCTGTGTAGGGTTGATGAGTGTGAGACGCGAGTGCGACAATGGATGTGGAGCGATATCGCAGCAAGGGGAGGAGGGAGATGGGCAGGCTGGAGGGGGAAGAAGAAATGGACACATCGCGTAAACGATTTTTTCTAAAATGGTCCATAAAGTACTAACACTAACTGTTCGATACTATAGCGGGTATGAGAGGGTCGAGTTTCCTGTCCAAATGGTTCACGAACGTTTGGTCCCGAGACTGTAACGAGGATATCGCTGGTGGTGAGTGAATATGCGTGAATATTCCCCTTCATGAGTTGCTACACCATGTCCATTTGTACATACAATCCTAATACTGCATCGCATCAATTCCAACCAACAAGGTTTCATGGTAAGTCACTTACACACGGTGTCCTAGAAGCATGGAGAAAAAGAACCTAGGGGGATGTGCTCACGGTCACACGCTTACTAGCATAAAGCCGCAACAAGCTCCACATTGCGCGCTCCGCCATCGTAGCGGTCGAGCGCTATTCTTGTAATCCGCGTCACCCTGGAGCAAGGCTCGCTGCCGGTCGTCGTCCCGCGCGCATCACATGCATCCGTCCGTCGCACAGCAGCACGGCTCGTCGCACGCGCACCAGCACGCGCAGCAGTATTCGCAGGCGCAGCAGCAGCACTATGTGAAGATCTGCGAGCTGCGCCCCGCGCCGGGGAACGTCGTCAACACCGTCTTCATCCTCCTCGAGAAATGTAACCCCGCCTGCGCGCGCCTCCTCGCGCGCCTCCCCGCGCGCCGACCTGTGTAGCGCAGTGCCTTGGCGTCGGCCTCGGGCTCCCGCCACGCGTCAATAATCGTCTCCCCTCAGCCATTTCCTTCCCTCTCCTCTCCCGCGCTCTTTCCCTTCGCCTTGCTCGGTTTACCTGCACTCGCTCCCCCAGTGCTCCCCTCCCTTCAAGCACCCCCCGTCTGCACTTCCTTCCCTCCTCGTTTCTATGTTACTCCGTCGCGAACATGGTCGTATCCGCTGCTCTCTCCGCATTCTCGTTCCGCCTTTCTAATGGGATTGTGCATCCCGCATGCCATGCACGCTGTGTGTTGGGTATCAATACGTCATGCCACATGCCATGCCACATGCCATGCGGCAGGGCCGGCGGCGCGGGTGAGCGAGGGGGGGGGCGGTGGTGTGCACGGCGCTGGTGGCGGACGGCACGGCGGCGGCGCACATGCAGCTGTGGGGCGCCGAGGTGGACGCGCTGCAGCCGGGCGACATCGTGCGCCTCACCAGCGGGTCAGTGCGCCTCACCAGCGGGTCAGTGCGCCCAGCATCCCCATTGCTTTTCCAGTGCATCCTCTCTACCCGTCTTACCCTTTCCCCCATCCTCCTTTCCTTCCCCACTCCCCTCTCCTTCTCCCCCATCTCCCTGGCCTGCTCCCCTCCCCCTCCCTCCCCACTCCCCGTGCCCTCCTCCGTGCTTCCCCTCCCCTTCCCCCTCCCCTTCCCCCTCCTTTTCCCCCTCCCCTTCCCCCTCCCCTTGCCCCTCCCCTTGCCGCAGCATCTTCTCGTTCCACAAGTCGAACCTGGTGCTGCGCGCGGGCAAGAAGGGCGCACTGGAGAAGATCGGCGAGTGCGTTGCACCGCACCATGCTCACATCAGGGGCGAGGGGGGGGGAGGGAGGGTGGGTGGGGGAGAGGAGAGGAGAGGGAGTGTGAGAGAGCGACGGGCAGCAAGTGAGAGGATAGTCTTTCAGGCCTTCCATGTGCGACTGACACTGCATGCCATGCCACATGGCATACACGCCTTGCTTCCCAAGCAGCCCTGCACTGCACGCACGGCCTTACTTTGAGCGCCCATCCACACCAATGCCCTCTCCCTCACCGTCGCGTCCCTTCCCCTGCCATGGCCTGTGCGTCCGTCCCGTGCGCGGGGCAGGTTCACAATGGTGTTCGTGGAGGCGCCCAACATGAGTCGCCTGCAGTGGGCGCCTGACCCCGCCAACCCCAAGCACTGGGTCAGTCACCCACTGCTTGCATCCATCTCTGCCCTGCACCTCACCTGCCTCATGGACGTCCCCCTGCCCATTCTCCCCTTCCCATGCCGCTGTCGCTTGCATGGGCTCTATGCGTGCACGGCATGCACGCACATGTGCACATGTGTGTGCTGTGCATGCGCATGGCCATGGCTGCCCTGCCGTGCAAGGGTGCGCCATGGGCGCCTGTGAGTGAGGCCGTCCTCCTCGTGCTGCCCGCATGCTGCACTGCCCTGCCAATGCTCTCACTCTCACAACCATCACCCATGATCATGCATGGTTGGACGGAGACTGCACTTGGCCCATATACCTGCTTACTGCCTGCTCTGCCACCCTTCTCTCAACCTCCCTGTTTCTCTCAACTCTCACACTCACTCGCTCCCTTTCTCCCCGCCAACATGCGTGATGCCACCTCCCCGTGCGGGTGGCCCCATGTGCAGGTGCCGAGGGGGGGCATGCCTGCAGGCGCCATGGCACCGCACGCCAGATAGCCGTGTGCCCACACCACAGCTGCTCTCATGCACCAATCAGCTGCCCATGCTTCACGCTGCTGCTGCTGCAGATTCTGCTGTACGTGGTGGCATGCGGGCCTGCCTGCCACACCTTGGGCCCCCTCGCCCTCCTGCCTCACTAACCCCAACCCAACTTCCTGCATTGAAACATACTGCACAAGTATGTAGGTACTAGGTATTACGTTGACATGTACATAGCGAGCAACAGTGGCAATAGGATGAGGGTGAGATGAGCTGATGCATTTCGCCTTGGTCTGCAAAGCACTAGCCTTGCCAGCCACGACACTATGAGCCTCACTGGCTAGTGTAACCCTTGGTGCTCCCACCACACGCACTACGGTCCTGCATTCTGTAACATTGAAGCGGTACATACAGGAATACAATGGACGTGCTACCTAGACTAGGTAAGAATCACTGACAAGCCTGGCAAGCTAGATAGTCCATATTGTCAAACTATATGTGCTGCATATTGTCTAGGCTGTAGTGGGGTAGCCCATATGGGGTACAACCCAATTAGGGTTTACTACTTGTACTCCTGCATCCTGTTAGTTCATTCATTCCTGCTGCTAGATTCTGACATGGTTTCAGAGCACTAAGGTCTGTATGACCGTTTTTTTTTCGGGCCCACCTACCGCTGCGGTTACCGCGCTACCCCACGTACCTGCCTGCCTTGCCTTGCCTTGTGACGTGCTGCACTACGCGCGCCGTCCAGCAGCCCTAGCGCTGCCTCCTGCTGCCCTAGGCCAGCGCGCTGCTTCTAGAGGCCCGTAAGGCCCGCGCGCCGCCCCTACAGACCGTTAGGCCCCTTGCTGCCGCGCGCTGCCCGCACCGAGCCCGCGCAGCCCGCACCGAGCCGCGCGCAGCCCGCTGCAGCCGCGCGCAGCCCGCACCGAGCCCACGCAGCCCGCTGCAGCCGCGCGCAGCCCGCACCGAGCCGCGCGCAGCCCGCACCGAGCCGCGCGCAGCCCGCTGCTGCCGCGCGCAGCCCGCGCCGAGCCCACGCAGCCCGCGTCGAGCCGCGCGCGGCCTGCTACGGCCTCGCGAGGCCTGCGTGCGGCCCGCAGCAGCCCGCGCCGAGCCGCGCGCGGCCTGCTACTGCCTCGCGCGGCCCGCGCGCGGCCCGCTACTGCCTAGCGCAACCGCGCGCGGCCTGCAGCAGCCCAGCGCGCTGTCAGCGCAGCCCGCGCCGAGCCGCGCGCGGCCCTCTGCCTCGGCCCCGACCTGCCGCTGATGCGGCCCCGCCCTGCAGCTGCCTCGGCCCCGACCTGCCGCTGATGCGGCCCCGCCCTACAGCTGCCGCGACCCCGACCTGCCGCTGACGCGGCCCCACCCTGCGACTGCCGCTGAAGCGGTCCCGCCCTGCAGCTGCCGCGGCCCTACTCTGCAGCCGTTGTTGCGGCCCCGACGTCGCCACTGTCGTGCGCCTACTCGGCCGCCGCCCGTCGAGCGCCGACCCTGCTCGCCCGGCGAGCGCCTGCTCTTCCAGCCTTTGGTGAGCACCTGCCTGCCTGCCTGCAGGCCTGCCTGTCTGCCTGTCTGCCTGCCTGCCTGCCGGCCTGCCTGTCTGCCTGCCTGCCTGCCTGCCTGTCTGCCTGCCTGCCTGCCTGCCTGCCGGCCTGCCTGCCTGCCTGCTTGCCTGCCTGCCTGTCTGCCTGCCGGCCTGTCTGCCTGCCTGCCTGCCTGCCTGCCTGCCTGCCGGCCTGTCTGCCTGCCGGCTTGTCTGCCTGCCTGCCTGCCTGCCTGCCTGTCGGCCTGCCTGCCTGCCTGCTTGCCTGCCTGCCTGTCGCGCCTGCCCTGCCCGCGCTACTGCTACTACTCCTGCTATTAGCAGGTGGCCAGATGCAGCTCCAGCGTCGTTCCTGCGTGTCTCTCACGCCCCAGCAGCTTGATGAGTGGTATAGGGTTTGGGGCTGTCGAGGTGGCCGTCGTAGCAGTCGCCCTGGAGCTGGTCAGTTGGGGGCGTCTGGCAGTGGCCAGCTGCAGCTGCAGGGGCGTCCTCGCGAGACACTTACGCCCCGGCAGCTCCAGGAGTGGTACACTCAGTGTAGCAGGTCTACGCGTACCGTTCGCTGCCCGTACGTCATTCGCACAGGTGTTAGGACTGGTCAGCCTTGCGGGACGCTTGGTCACACACAGTCCCGCTGCTTCGCCCGTCTGAGCGACGCCTGGCGTACCGTGTTTGGAGACGAGGCTGAGCTCCCTGCCTGGCCGGAGCTGCTTGGACAGAGGGTAGATATCTTTGCACTTGACTATGATGCTATTCTCACTGCCATGTATGCATTGCCTACTAGTGTCGACCGTGCCTGTTACCTGTGCGTCCCGCCTGACCCTGGTATAGCGCCTGCTGCTCTCGGTACTGGTGAGGCTGCTGCTCTAGGTGCTCGTGCGTCTCCTGCTCTAGGTGCTGGTGCGAGTGCTGCTCTAGGTGCTGGTGAGTTTGCTCTTTCTGGTACTGCGCCTGCTGCGGTCTTGCACACCTTCACCCTTGACTCAGGAGCTTCTCGCTCTTTCTTTCGCGACTGCACCACACTCACGCCGCTCAGTCGGCCAGTTCCGGTCTCCCTGGCGGACCCCTCTGGGGGTCCAGTCCTTGCCCACTACTCCACGGTTCTGCCGTGTCCGGCCGTCCCGTCTGGCTTCCTGTCAGGTCTTTACCTCCCCTCGTTCTCTACGAACTTGGTGAGTGGAGCTGACCTCCAGGATCACAAGGTTGACCAGTTCACTCCTGCGAGTCAGCGAGTGACTCACTGTACGTGTGCTAGGACGGGCCGGCACTTGGCCACGTTCACCCGTGCACCTGGCTCGAGTCTGTACACACTGACCACTGAGTCCCCTCAGGTAGCTGCGTCTGCGTCTACGTCTGGTCAGCTGGCGGCCCCCTGCGAGTGTCGCGCTTTGTCACACGACACTCTCCTGTGGCACCACCGCCTTGGTCACCCCTCCTTGCCTCGCCTGCGTAGCATGCACTCTCGCTCCCTGGTCTCTGGTCTTCCCAGGTAGCTGCCTGCCCTCCCTCCCTCGCCTGCGCCGCCCTGCATTCCTTGCGTCGAGGGGCGGCAGCGCGCCGCTCCTCACTCCTCCTCGTTTCCTCCCACAGAGGCTCCACTGCAGACGCTCCACCTGGACGTGTGGGGCCCAGCCCGCGTCCGTGGACAGGGCCACGAGCGGTACTTCCTGCTGGTCGTCGACGACTACACGCGCTACACCACGGTCTTCCCCTTGCGCAGCAAGGGGGACGTCCCTGATGTTTTGATCCCTTGGATCCGCGCTGTCCGTCTCCAGCTCAGCCGGCGGTTCCAGCGGGACTTTTCTGTCCTGCGTCTGCACTCTGACAGAGGTGGTGAGTTCACCTCAGACCTCTTGGCAGCCTACTGTGCGGAGCACGGCATCACCCAGTCGTTCACGCTTCCGGCCTCTCCGCAGCATAATGGGGTTGCTGAGCGCCGCATTGGCTTAGTCATGGAGGTCGCTCGTACCTCCATGATCCATGCGGCTGCCCCCCATTTTCTGTGGCCGTTTGCGGTCCGGTACGCCGCACATCAGCTCAACCTCTGGCCCCGTGTCTCCTTGCCGGAGACCTCGCCCACACTGCTGTGGACGGGGAAGGTTGGCGATGCGTCGCGTTTCCGGGTCTGGGGTGCTCGTGCCTTTGTCCGCGATACCACCGCGGACAAGCTCTCCGCCCGCGCTGTTCCCTGTGTCTTCCTTGGCTTTGTCCCTGACGCGCCTGGTTGGCAGTTTTACCACCCCACCTCGCGCCGTGTCTTTGCGTCTCAGGACGTCACGTTCGACGAGTCGGTTCCCTTTTACCGTCTCTTCCCCTACCGCACTGCCCCGCTCCCCCCCCCGCCGCTCTTCCTCGCTCCAGGTGCTCCCCAGGTAGACCCCCTCCCCGCTCCAGGTCCTGCTCCTTCAGGTGTTTCTCAGGTAGACCCTCCTCCCTTGACTGCGCCGGTTGAGGTCACTGGTGACTCAGGTCCTACTGAGGGTGGTCCTGCTCGGGGTGCTACTTCTGGAATTCTGAGCCTGGGGGTGCGGAGCCTGGGGGTGCTGAGCCTGCGGGTGCGGAGCTTGAGGGTGTGGAGCTTGGTGGTGCTGAGCCTGAGTGTGAGGGGTCTGGGGGTGCTGAGCTTGGCGGTACTGACGCTGGAGGTTCTGGAGCTACTGAGGGTGCTGGCGCTGGAGGTTCAGGAGCTGCTGGAGGGCCTAGTACTGGTGGCGCTGGAGCTGGAGGTTCTGGAGCTGCTGAGGGTGCTCGCGCTGGAGGTTCTGGAGCCGCTGGAGGTACTGGTGCTGAGGGTACTGACACCGGAGGTTCTGGAGCCGTTGGGGGTGCGGGCGCTGAGGGTTCTGAGTCTGCTGTTGCGCGGTCTCCTTGGAGTAGCCGCCTTCGTCCACGTGTGCCTCTCACCCCACAGCAGCTGCAGGACTGGTACGGTCGCCGTCAGCGTCGCGCTGCTGGAGCTAGGAGTGGTGCTGGTCCTTTGTCTACTGGAGGTGCTGGAGTCGCTGGTTCTGGAGGTGCTCGTACTGGAGACACTGAGGCTGGAGACCCTGGGACTGGAGGTGCTGGCTCTGGGGGTGCTGCTGCTGGAGACACTGAGGCTGGAGACCCTGGGACTGGAGGTGCTGGTTCTGGGGGTGCTGCTGCTGGAGACACAGAGGTTGGAGACCCTGGGTCTCGAGGTGCTGGTTCTGGGGGTGCTGCTGCTGGTGACACTGCGTCTGGAGACCCTGGGACTGGAGGTGCTGGTTCTGGGGGTGCTGCTGCTGGAGACACAGAGGTTGGAGACCCTGGGACTGGAGGTGTCGGCTCTGGGACTGGAGCTTCTGGAGCTCCTGGAGGTACTGGAGCTGCTGGAGGCACTGGAGCTGCTGGAGCTGCCGGTCCTGGTGCAGCTGCGCCGACACAACGGTTCTTTGCTCCGCCGTCTCCATCGTCTCTGCCGCCGTCTGACTCTGTTCTTCGTCAGGTTCTT